TTTCTATTTCTCTGGAAGGGGACCACAGGCTGGGAACTTGAGGGAAAAGAGAAAGAAAGAGAAGAAAAAACTAATGGCAGAACCCAGGGGATGGCATTAATCATCTCCACCACCCTCACTGCCCCCACAGTGGGATTCCAAGCCTTCTTGACGTGACTATACCTTCTGATTCTGGAAGATTCCTGATTATCCACCATCTCAACATGACTTTGGGGAAAATCACTTAGCCTCCCTGTGTCTTAAGTCCCTGTGAGTAAAACAAAGGGGTTGGACCTGCCAGAGTCCATTGAGCCCTATCATTCAATGATGCTACAAAAACAAAGCCAACATCCTTCCCTGCTGGTCTCCAAATACTTGGTTCTTTTCCTCACTTCTGTCCTCAACAAAGCTGCCCAAAGCCTGGGCAGTTCATAGGACCTTCCAAAAGGGAAACTTTGGTGTTTTCTTTTTTTAATTTTTACTGAAGTGTAGTTGATTTATAAGTGTACAGCAAAGTGATTCAGTTATATATATGTACATACATATTTTTTTTCTTTTCAGATTCTTTTCCATTATAGGTTATTACAGGAAATTGAATATAGTTCACTATACTATACAGTAGGTCCTTGTTGTTTATCTGTTTTATATGTAATAATGTGTGTCTATTAATCCCCAACCCTAATTCATCTCTCCCCAGAAACTTCATTTTCAGTCACAAAATGTCAGAGGAGGTAGAAACCCAGAGCTCATCTGTCCCATGCCTTATCTGATGTCAGGATATCTGTCAGAGACTCCTGGACTGTTTGACTATTTCTATCAATGCAGTGGTCCCCATCTCCTTAAACAGCTTAGTAAATTCCCCAGAACACTGATTATCAGAAGTGTTGCCACCTTCCAGCTTAGCAAACATTTATTTTACTGAGTACCTACTATAGGCCAGGTACAGTGCTAAGCCTATGAACAAAGAAACAATTGTCTTAGTGAGGAGGGTAGAGCTCAGTGGGAGAGTGTATGTTTAGCATGCATGAGGTCCTGGGCTCAATCCCTGGTACCTCCATTAAAAAAATTAAAATATATAAGTGAACCTAATTACAACCCCCAAGTCCCCAAAACAAACTCAGTCATCTTCATTGCTACCCCGGCAGTGTTCAGACTCTTTTCTTAACATGCACAAGTGTATTATTTGACCTCTTAGATGTTTATATACACTATTTACATATACATTATACACATATACATCCGAACATTACAGTAAAAGCTCTGTCATCTCAGAAATATAGCCAAGCTTCTGAAATCTTCCTCTTACACATTTTCAGTTTCATGATCAGAACTTCAAATACAATGGGAGGGCGCTTTGAAGGAGTTTGATAAATTACAAAGTTAGAATTTCTGAGGCCTTGAGCTACACAGAACAAACAAAAATCCATAGGTAACATCTTTTCCACCAAACATCATCCAAGAAGGCGAAAACCTTGGTACTCTATGAAAAATGACTGGTGTTTTAATGTTGTGATTTGCTTAAACATGTGAGGAGACAATGAGTTAATCAGAAAGTGCTCATCAAAGTCATCTTTGTCTCAATGTCAAATTAGTACACTCGAGTCCCCTCCCCTCGAGAACATGATATTAAGAGTTTGCTGCATTTCGCCATCACTGGAAAAACATTGGACATTGTGCAGAAGGCTGCTGGCAAAGCTTTTAGTCTTCTCTCGCCATTCCTAGCTTATAACCCAAGAGGAGGCTAAACAGCCTCTTGGAATTTGAAGTCATGAAATTTGAGCTATATGCCTGATTTGAAGGAGGTAGAACTCCCAGACAACATGGAAGGAAGATTGATTACTGGAGAAGTAAGAGCAAGAAAAGCAAAAGAAAGAAATGCGGGAAAAATAAGGAAAGGAGAGGGGTTAAGAAATGAATAGAATCTAACAATAGTGACTCCTAGGGGCTTGAGAATCAGGACCTCCTGAGACTCTCATGAAAATGACAGACCAGAAAAATATACAAACACACATAATTTTTGCATGGAATTTCAGAAGGTTCATGAATCCCATTAATTCCAACTTGCATTCTTAGGACCTATCTGTCCCAGATGAAGAATTTCTCCTCTAGAGGCTCATCGGATACCAGGAAACTACCAAGGGAAGAAAAAAAAACCATCTTGTTGTAATCAAGGAGCAGATACAAACACCCAAGCAGCAAACTAACCTATGGAAGGGCTGCCTTTCAACTTATTGATCACTATTGAGACCTACTACTTCCTTAACAGTGTATGAGTTTCCCAAGGTGTTTCAAGAACCCTGTTATAAAACAGCAGGGTTTTTTTAAGGCTTCTTCCTGCCAGTCCGTGCCAGCAAAAGCCAGCCCCCAGGGAGCATAAATTGGTCCAGCCACTTTACAGAGCAATTTGACAATATCTGGTGAAGCTGAGGATGCGTATGGTACACAGCTCAGCAATTCATCTCCTGCATATATGCCATGGAGAAACCCACTTGCAAGAACAAGAGGACAGATTGGTTCAAAATAGCACAAAGCTGAAAACAACCCCAATGGATAAATACATAGTAGACGATTCATACCACGGAATACTATGCAGCAGTGAACATGGATGAATGGGACCTATTCTTGTCAATCAGATGAATCTCATGTTGAATGCAAAAGGCAGGTTGTAGAAGAAAACATTTATAGAGAAACTTAAAGCATGCAACACAATATTGGATATACTTCTTCTATACTTATATAGTCAAAATGTAAAATATATACCATATATTTCTTATGTTCTTACATAAAAGTATAGATACATAAATGGAGATAATAAACACAAAATTCAGGAAAGTGCTTCCATATGGAGAGAGGAAGGTACAGGGCCAGGGAAGGGAATGCAGGGACGTACACTGTATTATGAAGGTTTCATTTTGATGGCAGTTTGTCCCATCAATTCCCTGTCCTCACCTCCTTCACTCTTTCCCTCACTCACACTGGTCCAGCCACCTTGGCCTCCCCACTGTTCATAAAACATACCAGATGCAGTTCAGCCTTAGGGCCTTTGCACTTGCTGTTCTCTCTGACTGGCACTCTCTTCTGCTAGCCACCCTTGTAGCTTCTGCACTCACTTCCTTCAAGTTTTCATTCAAATATCACCTTCCCAATGAAAGTCTTCCCTGGCTCCTAGGCCTCCTGCCCATAATACCACCCATCATTCTCTGCTTTATTTTTTCTCCATAGCCCTCACCACCATCTAACATACTAGATACTTCATTCATTCATCCATTTTTGTCTTTCTTCACCACTAGGATATCAATTCCACAAGAGGAGGGACTTCTGTCTGTTTTGTTCACTGCTATGTACCAGAGCCTGGCA